AGCGGCTGGGCTGTCTTCTCCGGCGAGGAACTCTGATGGCTAGGGTTAGGGTTTGGGTGCGGATGAGGTTATTTATACCCATCCACTTTTGATCTCAGCCGTCAATCGCTTTTAATCTGAACCGTCCGATCGCGATTAAATAGGAAATGAATCTGGCCCGTTCATCGCGATTCAATCTGGGCTGTCCGCGCGCGATTCAATCTGGACCGTCCGTGTGCGCGAGAACGGATCTCAGTGTTCGATCGCGCGCACGCGGATCACCCACGTGACTCCCTTCCGTGTGGCCTCCCGCTTCAGCGTCTCTGCCAATTAGCGCGTCCTGGTTGGCCGGGGCTGCTAACCGGGCAGCTGATGTGGCACAATTTTTTTAAATTACGTTTTGACCCCCAATTTTCGATTTTTCTTTCAAAAATATTCCCATAACCCAAATTTTCACCTTTTTTCCTAGAAATTATTTTCAATTAAATCCCTAAATAATTTTTACCCCTTTTTATTATTATTATTATTATTATTTCCATTAAAATAAAATAAATTAAATTAAATTCTATTAATACTTATTTATATTTATATAGAATAAATTAAAATAAAATAATAATAATAAAAATAAAAAGGAATTTCTTGGGTGTTACAGCTAATGGAGCCCGAACCAGACATTGTTATCTGTTGATTTATTTTACAGTCTAAAAATATAATAATATCTTATTTATCTATTTTATGATTTAAATGCATGTATTACTGTCTTTTCTGACTTCTGTTTGATTTGAAATTTGAGACATAATTGCATTATCGGGTGCATGTTTATTTATTTATGTGATTATGCTTGATTTGATAATAGAGACTAAAGGAAAACAGGAAAGAGGTGTAATTAAATAAATAAATAAAATAACAGTCTTACTAGATATCATAGGAGATGGTGAACGGATCGGGTACATAGGGAATCCCACCGTGAACGTTGTCTCATACCGAATGGGGTATGGAGACTTAGTAATTTGGCACTCATATCGGACGAGATGAGGACGGCTCGCTTCACTCTCATACCGGACAGGGTATTAAGTTTTAATGTCTTAGCACTCATACCGGACAGGGTATGAAGACGGCCCTGTAATTGAGATTGTTAAGGAAAATGGTTCACGTGTAACGGGGACACCCCTATAAACCCATATGGATACTAGTATGCTGGTGAAATGAGAAACGGTTATGATTTATTTTATTATTAATGAATATGGATTTATAATATGTTATATGTTGCTGAGTGTTCATGAAGTTATGATTTGTATGGTATTATTGTCTTTATAGGTTATTTTCATAAATTCCACTACGGTAAATGATTTTATAATTGATAAACAAATTTGCTAAATTTGGTGCTCCATTAATTGTTTTGATTTTATACTAACCTTTACTTCTGTGCCAGTGATATAATATAATATCTTTACTGGGCTAGTGTTGTAACACCCAAACCTTTATTTATTGTTTTTATTGAAATTTTATGTGATTTTATCTTATTTTAATAATTTATTCATAAGGGTGTAATTTAATTTAATTTAATTTAATTGAAATAAAAATAATAATAATGATAAAAATGGTTAAAATTATTTTTTAGATTTAATTGAAAATGATTTTAGAAAAAATATGTGAAAATTTGGATTCTGGAGGTGTTTTTGAAAAGAAAATCGAAAATTGGGGGTCAAAACGTAATTTAAAAAATTGTGCCACGTCAGCAGCCCCGGCCAACCAGGACACGCCGCGTGACAAGGACGCTGACGCGGGAGGCCACGCGGGACGGAGCCACGTGGGCGATCTGCGTGCATGCGATCAAACAATTCAGATCTCACGCGTGTGGACGGCCCAGATCTCACACGCACAGACGACCCAGATCTCACGCGTGTGGATGACCCAGATTGAATCACGCACGGATGGTCCAGATCGCATCGCGATGGACGGTCTAGATTTATTCCTATTTTAATCGCGATCGGACGGCCCAGATTAAATCGTGATGGACGGCTGAGATTAAAAGGGAAATGTTATAAATAACCTCACCCACACTTAACCCCAAACCCTAGCCGCCAGTACCCTCGCTGGAGAAGAAAACCCAGTCACCGGAGGAGCCGGCCGCCGCCACCCGCCGCCGCACCGGATGATTTTTCGAAGGCCAAACGAGGTAAATTTTCTCCCATTGGCTCGTTTTTCGATGCTAAATCCGCCTATGGCCAAATCAGAGCTAAACCACTGGTCAATCGGCCGAAAAATACCACCGAAGTCCAGCGGCGCCGTCACGGCTTCCCTCAGTTTTTGCCTCTGATAAAGCCATTCTCGGTTCCCATTCGATGCAATTTTTACATCACTGTGATCACCGTCCTTTTCTCTACAGGTTGACCGGAGTAAAATATCAAATCGCGACTTGCGCTGGAGAAGTTGCCGCACCCAAGAGCTCCACCGCCGGTAAGTCTCAGTTTTTCGTGATTTTTTGGCCCACCGAGGGCCCTAAGGTTGTTTTATCGCAGGAACCAATGCAAGATCAGCCGAATTCAGTCGAAAACGGCCAACCCGATGTGGATTGCCGCCGCGGACGGCGGTGCCGACGCTGGAGCACGGCGGAGCCGCTGTGCCGGAATTCTAAAATTGGCCGAGTAGGGCTCTAGGTCTGATTTTGAATTTTTTCGGGACACGTGTAGGTACCGGAAGTGTGTTTTAGTTCCCGAAAAAAAATTCAGAGAATCTAGGGACTGCCCGTAGGCACAGTGTAAAGCCGATTTTAGGCTCTAAAATAAGTAAGGATTTCTCACTCCATTTCCTATCACGGTATTAAAGCTCAATAAATAATAAAACGGCATTTCATGAATTAATACATGTGTATAATTAATTAAAATTACTAATGGAACCCGAATCTGATGTATTTTTCGGTCAGTTGTTGTTTGATCTATTTTTCAGTTTTAAATGCAGTATGGTATTTGATGTGTTTATTCTATGGTTTCATATGCATGAATCACGATTTCGTTTATTATGGTTTGAATTATTGTGAACCTGTTGTTGTCTTGTTTGGTGTTCATTACTGTTTTACGTGTTTATGTTTGATTGGATAATTGAGACCAAGAAAAAATAGAAAAAGGTATGTGAATTGATAAATGGATGATGTCGACAGCCTGACTAGATATTCTGGAAGATGGTGGACAGAACGGGTCCGTAGGGAACCCTACCGGGAACGTGGTCTCTCATATCGGACGGGGTATGGAGACCTTATGTGTTTTGTTGCCCATACCAGACGGGGTATGGGGACGGCTCGTTTCACCCTCATACCGAACGGGGTATGAAGACGACCCTAGAATCAAGTTATCAATGTGAATGATTCACGTGTAGCAGGGACCCCTATGGATCCCCATGGATACTAGTAGGCTGATAAAAGAGGAAAATCTGTTATCTGATTATTAAAATGCAAAGGTATGATATGTGTTGTGTTATAAAGTGTGTATAATTTCATGGTATTATAATGTTATTGTTTTCTTATGTTATTTTCATGAAGCTCACCGAGGTAAGTGGACAGTAAAGGGGTTTTATTATTGATAAATGAATTTATCATGAATTATGCTCCATTGGTCGTTTTTGTTTTCTATCAACTTTTACTTCTGTGACAGTGAGATAGTGTGATGTCTTTACTGGGTTAGTGTAGCTCATTCCTTATTTAACCATTTCAGATCAGGAAGATTTGGTTCCCGAGCCCGTCCCGCAGGAAGACGGCGAGTAGACGTCTAAGAATTTCATAGTTTTATTTATAGTATTCATTACTAGTATTTACCTTACTTAGTTTATTCTTTCATACGTTGAATACGTTTTTGGTTATTATGTAAGGAATGTTAATTAGAATTTTTATTTCACTTCCGCACTCAAAAATTTTTTTATATACACATTTCTTTTTTAATTTCCAGGGCCGTTACAAGTGTAGCTCATCCTTTATTTAACTATTTCATATCAAGAGAACCTGGTTCTAGAGCCTGATCCGCAAGAAGATTGCAAGTAGATGCTAGATACTTTCTACTTTCTATTATTTTTCTTATTTCTCGTGTTTCTTTCGGAGTATTCATTCTGTAATATTGTTTAATACTTTTAAATTATTGTGTAAGGGATATAAATCTTAACTTTTTATTTTGTTTCCATACTTAAATTATTATATATTTCCTTTTCAATTTCAGGGGTCATTACAAGATTACTCATCCCAATACTTTTCTCTACAATTAGATTATTTAAAAATTTATTACATCAAAAGTTTATAGATCTTATATATATAAATACATATATATATATGCATGCATAAATGAAATTTATTATTTTAGTTGTAAGTCATTTTCAAATCTTATTGGATCATTTGGTGTTACATTTCATCCTCTAGTTTCTTAAGAACTAAGAAAATTGCAAAAAAAAAAAAGATGGCATTTGAAATGAATGAAGGATTGCTTGATTGGTAAGTCAAAAGTTATATGTTGTTAAAAAAAATTCAACAATTAAATAAATACAATAGATAAAATTAAGTTTACTTAAAATTTAGATCAAATTAAATAGAAATAAAAGTACAATAAAAAAAATATATATGAAAATAAATTTTTTTTTTTACTTTCATGTTAATTTATGTCCTATCTTGTGAATTTTTAATAAATTAATGATTATAAAATTAATTAATATTTAAAAATTATTTGTGGTAGAAGATTAAAAGAATTAATTCAATAAAATATAATTAAATAAATTGATGAATTCTAGCTCTAATTTTAACCCCAAAAAAAAAAATTTGATAAATTTTCTTAACATTTAAAATATAAATTCACACAATTACCAAATTGGCGGTTGGCAGCTGACGTGGCTGTACAGTCCAAATCCAGAGTTTGTCAGAAGGGACGCGTAGAATTCAACGCGTGGCAGTTACTGCAGGGTTAGTGTGTTCTTTGCGTGTTACCGACACAGGTGCCTTGCGGGTGATTCAATCAAAACCCTTCAGCCTATAAATAGTACACAATCCCGTCATTTCCGTAGCCGGTGGATCGATCCGAAGTTGTCTCTCTTAAAGTTCCTGTATTGGCAGAAAAAGGAAAAGAAAGAAACAGAGAACAAGCACAGGAACGAAGATCGCTCGTTCTGTCCTTCGAGTAAATTAAGGTACAGAAATTCATGGTTTTTCTGATTGGAATTTTCTTTTTCTGAGTCTTGTCTGATGTTTTTGGATTGTACCTTTGTGCTTCGGGAATAATGAATTACACTAAACTCTTCTATATACGCTAATTATTCATTCAATTATTTTATTTATGACCGCGTTGATTCAGTTTTAGTGCCGTTCTGATCTTAAAATTGGATCATGATTTTCGTGTTAGAATCTCATTTAATTCTCGAACTGAGATTTCCGCAATTCTCACCTTGAGAAGTTGGAGTTATATTTCAGCCCCAAAAGTTTTAAATCAGTGGTGAAATTGTTCATTCATTACAACTATGGTTTTCTTTTACCTATCAATCTACTAAGAGAAGAAATAAACTAGAAATCGAACCACGCAGGACATGAGGTTCAAGATTGAAATATGAAGATATGGTATAAGCTGGCATCTACGAGGAAGGCACTTGCTCTTGTTTGACTGTTCAGAACATAGGATAAGCAATTGAATTTAGGAGAAAACAAGTTGGTTATTTAGTTTCCAAGCCTCAATCCATCTCTTTGCACTATGACCTTTTCAGTTTCATTATTGGTGATGGTTGTCTGCCTTTCGCCAATAGTTTTTACCTAAGGTATTTAGAAACTCAGGTTTTCATTGAATCATCGCTTGATTGTTTATGCATTTGTTTAATAATGCATAGAAAATGGAGAATATGTTTATTTGGTTTATTTGAAGATAATAGAAGTTTCTTTTTTCTACTGTTTTCTGAATAAGTGCTTTGTTCTTATTTAAGTATTATATGTGCATATACTTTTTAAGCTTCGTACACATATTAACATATATGTGTACAGAAAAAAGTATGTTTATCGTTTTCGCATAGCTAGCCTGTCATTTCTTTCTCCCTTGAAGGTTTTTGGGTTTTTGGGTTTTTGGATTCAAATATTGCTACTGCAGGGAAAAAGAGAAAATCTTTGCACATGTAGTGAACAACATTTTGTGGTTTCCTTTATGTTCTCTTTTTAAGTTAGGATGCGGGGTGATATATCATTCAGTTTTTAATTATTTGAACAAAGTTTTATGGGGAACTTCCTGGTGTATTTACTTGTGTTTCCGTCTATTTGGGACTGAATTTTAGGAAACTTAGATGAATCTTATGGTGAGAACTTATTCTTAGGAGTGACCAAATTCAAAGGGGTTCTTTTTTGCAAAACTGTTAGGAGTTTGGAGTTTGTATGCAATATATCATACTCACATATTGTTGTAATTTAAATAACAATGAAATTTTTACCCCTTTTTGTGTTTCAAAGTATTCATCATAAGTTTTTTTATTGCCTATTTTCTTGATTCCTAACAGATGATTTATTTGATGTGTCAGGAAATCTGAGCTTCAAATTCCAATTTCCAATTTTAGTGGAAGATCTGGGAAATGGAAAACAGATCTGAATCCCTTGCTCACGAAGAAAAAAAGGTCAAGAAGGAAGAAATGCATTTGAAAATCAAGACTGAAGATGTAAAATCAGATGACGAAAAGGAAGAAAAAACTAAAGTGGAGATGGAGGTGAAGACCAAAACAGTCGAGAAGGAAAAGCCAAAACATAAAGAGGAGAAGGCAGAACACAAAGAGAAGGATGAAGGTAGCTCAAAGAAAAAAGATAAAGAGAAAAAGGACAAAGAGCTGAAGGAGAAGGTGAAGGACAAAGAGAAGAAGAAGAAGGAGGAAGGAGATGAAGCGCATAAGAAGAAAGACAAGGATGAGGATAAAAAGAAGAAAAAGGAAAAAGATAGTGAGGATGCTGTTGGGGAAGCAGTGGGAGAGGATAACAAAACTGGAGAGATTGAGAAGAAGGGAGGGAAAAGCAAAGAGAACAAAGATAAGAAAGATAAGGAAAAAGGGCATAAGAAGAGCAAAGATGATGAGGAATTTGGGGATAAATATCATAATGAAAAGGGAGAGGAGGAAACTAAGAAGAAGAAAGGTAAGAAGGAAAAGGAGGAGGAGAGGACCAAAGAATCGGAAGAGGAGAAAGAAGAGACAGTGGAAGGGGCTTCAGAGAAGGAGAAACAGAAGGAAATCAAGCTTGAAGAGGAGAAGAAGAAGAAACATTCAGATGGAGAGTCTAAGGAGAAGGAAGAGGTGAAGAAGAAAGATAAAAAGGAGAAGAAAGATGAAAAGAAGGTCAAAGACAAGGAGGAGAAGATAAAGGATAAAAACAAAGAGGGAGCAGACAAAGTGAAAGACAGGGGAATAGAAGATGAGGATGAAGAGAGAAAAAGAAGAAGAAGTAGACAAGGAGAAGAAGAGAAAAGAAAAGGATGAAGCTGATAAGAAGAAGTTGATGAAGATGAGTGAAAGATGAC